CTTATGAACCAAAGAAAGCAGACGACTATGAATATTATGAGTCTAAGATAGTTGAAGTTCAAGGTAAATTAGGTAAAAAGATTTTAGAGTCTAAGCCAGTGTTTGCCCTAAAGAGGAAGAGAACATTGACATTGACCCAGAAATGTTCTAAAAATAAAATTTTATTTTTACATGTCAAATTTCTTTTTCTCTGGAACTGGTTCAGGTTCTTTCTTCTCTTCTTCTACTTTCTTTTCTTTCTTCTCTCTCTTCTTCTTCTTTTCTGGTGGAGTTATGTCAAATTTCTCAGAACCATATTTATGTAAAAGTTCTTTGTCCTTTAATAGCTCTTCTATTCTGTTTCCTATTTCATCTTCAAGAACAGCGCATGTGTCTTCTTTGCATTCTAAGAACTTTTGTTGGACTTCATCTTTCCAATCGGTGTCATCTCTGTCAACAAGTCTGTCATTGACAAATTTTAAGACTGCTCTTTGTAATGTTTTATGGTTCTTGTCATATTCCCAGAAACAGAACTTTAGAACAAATTCACCTTTCTTGTTTACACTATGTAAGATTTTATGGTCGACAGATGTTTTAGAGTCGAAAAGTTTGTCTCGAATATAGATAGCGAAATCGCTAGACATTTTCTAAAAGATAAAATTTTTAATTTTTCTAAAAATATGTTAGAAAAAAAGTTTGCTGACATTGACAAGAAATTTGAGAATGTTTTAAATAAGAACAAGAGGAAGTTGGAAAATGCTCAGATAAAACCCATACATGACAAGTTCTTATTTGCTCAGAATGGTATAACAGGTCTAATTGCACCACCTGGGTCGGGTAAGACTTTCACTTATCTTAAAATGGCTGCACAACAACAAGAACTAGATGAGAAGAACCCATTCTATGAGTTAGTAGTCATTTGTAGTACTTCTGGTCAATTCGATCAAACCGTCAATTCGTTCAAAGATATTATAAAGAAGTCTAAGTTAGTATGTATAAAAGACTCTGAGTTGTTAGATTGGATAAAGAAGTACCAAAGAAGAGTTTTGAAGTACAATGCTATAAATGAGTATATAAATTCGAAGTTTAAAGACCCAAATGAGGAAATGCAGAGAATATTAGAGAAGAAACACTTCAGAAACAAACAGAAAGAGATAGAATACATTTCGAAGAAATTGCAATCGTACGATTGGAAGACTTACCCTCATAGATGTCTTCTTATCTTAGATGACTTTGCTTCTCATCCTTTGTTAAAGAACAGAGAACAAGACATGTGTCGAATTCTTAAGAAGCTCAGACACTTTAACATTTCAGTTGTCATTTGTGTACAGACAGCCAAGAGTTTAAGTAAGGATGTAAAGAGAATACTTACTGATATCATACTTTTCCCTGGATTGTCCGAAGACGATTTCATGGAACTTATGAAAGAGTCCATGGCAGGTAAGTTTGACAGACATGAACTATGGAGAAGTACAAAGTCATACAAGACCCTCATACTTCTTTCAGAATTCACATCTACGCGAACAAAGTTCAAATTGTAAAAAGTCAAGCTTGAAAAATAAAGAGTTTAGTCTTAGTAAGTCTGTTGTGGTGCTGGGGCTGTCGGTTCTTCTGGCTGTGGAATGGACTCGGTTGGTGGTACGTCGGACATTCGTTTGTGTCTTAACCGTCTTTGTTCTGAAAAAGTACAATATTGTCTTGAAAAAGTACAATATTGTCTTGAAAAAGTACAATATTGTCTTGAAAAAGTACAACATTGTCTTGAAAAAGTACAACATTGTTCTGAAAAAGTACAACATTGTTCTGAAAAAGTTCAAGACTTGTTCTGAAAAAGTACAGCTGTACTCAAATTTGAGAGACATTGTCCTGAATTTATACAACATTGTTCTGAAAAAGTACAATATTGTACTGAATTTATACAACATTGTTCTGAAAAAGTACAACATTGTCTTGAAAAAGTACAACATTGTCTTGAAAAAGTACAACATTGTCTTGAAAAAGTACAACATTGTTCTGAAAAAGTTCAAGACTTGTTCTGAAAAAGTACAGCTGTACTCAAATTTGAGAGACATTGTACTGAATTTATACAACATTGTTCTGAATTTATACAACATTGTTCTGAAAAAGTACAATATTGTACTGAATTTATACAACATTGTCTTGAAAAAGTACAATATTGTACTGAATTTATACAACATTGTCTTGAAAAAGTACAATATTGTACTGACTCAGTATGGAGCTTGACCCCTTAGACGAAGCAATTTATCTAATTGAAATTAACGAGCTTGTTAAAGACTTCCTCAGGCAGAATGTAAAAGGCAAGCTTGAAAAATAAAGAGTTCATCTACTCTACTTGTTTGAAGTTGTCAAAATACTCTGTTATTTTTTCCTTTAACAATGGCAAATCTTCTTTGAAGGTAAGTATTGTACAACCTTTCATATCATAGTGTGTTTGAGGTAACGTATCTTGAACTATCTGTTTAACATCTTCATTCGGTGTCATTGAAATCGGTAAGTTTTCGCGATAGAACCAATTTCTGTCAGATTTGTAAATCTTAGCAAGGTCGTAAAAGCTTTTGTTGTTTCTTCTGACTAAATGCAACATAACCATATCTCTGTCTTCTTCATTTTCCATCTCTTCAGTGTAAATCATATACTTATAGTTCTTTTCCTTTCCTTTTGGTACCGAACGTGGTATTCTTTTCTGAAGGCTTTTGTCTTTTGCTTCAAGCTTGTTCTCTAGCTCTTCACGTTCTTGTCTATGAATTTCATCTAGATGTTTGAAAATATAACAAGCGTAACGAGGCGAAGCCCACATTGCAACAGCATTTACAAGAAGTCTATGAACATAATATCCTTTCAAACTATTTGGCAAATTTTTACGATTTTCGTACGGAATCTCGTTCCGCGGTTTTCTACCACTCGCAAACATATGAGGAAATTCTTCTAAAAGTTCTTTTGTCTGTTGGTTTTCAAACCAATGACGTGCTTGCTTTGTAGAACGAAGAGTATTCAAAATACTTTGCATTTGGTACATGTCATCTTTGACTGAACGAATGAGACGTAACTGTTTGTTATACTGTATGTACTCGTATTCTTCATTTATGGCTTCATGGACTATAACTGTTGTTGTGTTCTCTGTTGTTGACATATCTGTCTTTACATACAAAATAAAAAAATAAAAAAAATAAAATTAACTTTATTTTTTCTATCTTGTATAAAAGACCAAAAATAAACGCTTTACATGTATTTTTCAGCAACTTCGTCAAGAAGTCTGTAAATATACCAAGCATAGCGAGGTGAAGCCCACATTGCTATTGAACTAACTAGGAACTTATGAACATATATACCTTTTAGATACGATGGTAAGTTTTGTCTGTCTTGGTACATCTTTTTAAGTTCTACATGTTCGAACTCACTCAAAAGTTCATGAGTGCTATTTAATTCAAACCAGTCTTGTGGTTTCTTAGTATCTGGTGTAGCACATGCTGTCAAAATACTTTGCATTTGGTACATGTCATCTTTGACCGAACGAATGAGACGTAACTGTTTGTTAAACTGAACCCACTCATATTCTTCATTTATAGCTTCATGGACTATAACTGTTGTTGTGTTCTCTGTTGTTGTCATATATGTTCTTACATACAAAATAAAAAAATATTTTATAAAAAACTAACTTTATTTTTTCTATCTTAAGGAAATTCATGAAATTTGGTCATTTTTCAGCAAAAATATATTTTAGGGTAGAAGGTTAGATATAACCTGTTTTCTAACCTCTTTTCTACCCTCGTGAATTTTCATGAATTTTCATGATTTCATCGTAAATGTTTTGTCAAGACTTCTTCATATATGTTTTGTCAAGACTTCTTCATATATGTTTTGTCGAAACTTCTTCATATATGTTTTGTCGAAACTTCTTCTTCGTAATGAGCGTAAATGACCAAAAAATATATTTTAGGGTAGATGGTTAGATATAACCTGTTTTCTAACCTCTTTTCTACCCCAGTTATTTTATAAGCGTTTTACATGGTAAACGTTATTTTTACATGTATTTTTCAGCAACTTCGTCAAATAATTTTATAGCTTTATCTATCTCATCTACTTCAAACGTTTCTTTACCTTTTATGGGAGCACCATACATTTTCTCAAACTTTTCAAGTAGTTCTGTTTCTGCAGCTCTCATATCGTTAACCAACACAACCTTGACTCTATTGACTGTACTGTCATATCTTTGAGTTATATTAAATGTTCTTCCTATCTTATATCTCTTTGTATTGAAGTCCTTCGGTTTCTGAACGATGTAAAGTAAGCCTTCACTGCAACGTTCTGAGTCGAACGAACCATATGTTATGAAATTATATCCAACAACTGGGTCTAACCATAACAAAACTATTGGTATAAGACTTTTGTCGATGAGATATGCTGTAGTTCCATAGAATCTTACCGATATCATAAGCTCAGGATTTCTTGTCAAAATTTTCTGACTAGAAGCAATTCTAACCCAGTCCTTTGCTTTCTTTCCAGATGGAGATAAAATGTCTGACAAAGAATATTTGTTGTATTTCTTTGAGTATCTTACGTTTAAATCACCTATTCTAACCACTTTGGTCTCATTGTCTATCTTTCCAACTGTTTCAAACTCATTGTTTGTCATTTCTTTCTTTAAATCTGCATAGTCGTTTCTCATTCTTTCTATCTCTTTGACGGAGTAGTTATATTTCCTCATTGCTGCTTTACATTTTGAACATTGTGGGTTCATTTTAGCATTGTACATTGAAATCTTACCTGCTAGTATGACTAAGGCGTCAATGGTTTTCTTCATCTCGAACATAGCGGGTTTTATTTGTTCGTTCCATACCTTACCCCTACTATCTTTATCTCTTATTTCCCAAACACATTTTGCAACTAACGAAACAAAGTTGTCGTAGGTCTTAAATTCTTCGGATTTGTAAAGGTCAATGTCCATGACTTTGTGGTTGCAATGAAATCCAAGGAATTCATAGTTTACCTTTCGTATGAACTTCTTTATTTCTACTGAGTCAGTCAGTCTGACTTCTATTTCGTCAAATTCGGGAATGGTTAGTTTTTGTTGTTGTATTTCAGGAAGTTTAGGTAGATGGTCAATAATATCCTGCATTTCATAAAGATACTGTTCATTTGTTTCATCTTTCGCACTACAGTCTAAATTACTTGTTAAAAGTTCTTGCTTTATCTTCTGGATTTTTGTTTCGAAAGTATATGAAGAAGGAATGAAGCTTTTCATCTCTACTAACATTGAAGTTGGGTTCATGACTAAAGAGTTTGGTGCTGTAGTTGTTTGAATTGTTGTTGTGCCGATTGTTGACATTTTTATTTTTTTATACAAAATAAAAAAAATAAAAAAATAAAGTTAGTTTTATTTTTTATTTCGGGAAAATTCATGAAAATTCAAGAGGGTAGAAAAGAGGGTAGAAAAGAGGGTAGAGCTACCCTTCTACCCTAAAATATATTTTTGGGTCCTTTACACTCATTACGATGAAGAAGTCTTGACAAAACATTTACGTTCATGTTTGACAAAACATTTATGAAGAAGTCTTGACAAAACATTTACGATGAAATTCATGACAAATTCAAGAGGGTAGAAAAGAGGTTAGAAAACAGGTTATATCTAACCTTCTACCCTAAAATATATTTTTATTGAATTCAGCAACAAAATGGTTCATTTACTCACAATATTTTTGTACAAAACAACCCCAAGCTTTTAACTTCTTTTCTGCAGCTTCTAATGCTATCTTAGCGAGTTCATATTCTCTAAATTCTCTCTTTAAATCTTCTTGTTCCCATTGGTCTAGTTCGTATGGAGTCTCTATAACCAGAACATATCTCACGTTCATGTTCTATTTGTTTTTCATGCATTTTTCTAACTTCTTCTTCGAACAAAGGTTTAGCATTTTCTACTGTATCTTCGAGTTCTTCTTCATCTAATTTCTCATGAACTTTCTTGTCTATGGAGTCCAGAATTTTTCCAACTGCTATACAATATTTTGGAGAAGCCCACATTGCAATATAGTTTACGAGTCTTGGGTCTACATACGTTCCTCTAACCTGTTTGATTTCATCAGGAATTCCTGCATGAACTTGTATAAAAAGCAACCGTCGGAATTCCGGCGGTTGGTATATTCTTCACAAAATGCCGTATAATACTCTTCCCAGGACTTATTTTCCAACAACTTTCTAAAGTCTTTCCTAAACTGCTGACACATATTTGTTACATTTATATAACCATCCTTGTCTCTACGTAAGACTTCAATACCGTTGTAAGTGCCTTTTGTGAATGTTTCGCCATTAGATTTGTTCGTGAACGTTTTTGCTTCGACTGTCATACTGTTCTTACAATAAAAATAAAAAAAATATTTTTTGGTGGGACGTCGGACATTGTCTTGAAACAGTGCAAATATTGTCTTGAAACAGTACAAATATTGTCTTGAAACAGTACAAATATTGTTCTGAAACAGTACAAATATTGTTCTGAAGCAGTGCAAGTCTTGTTCTGAAAAAGTACAAGTATTGTTCTGAAACAGTACAAGTATTGTTCTGAAAAAGTACAAGTCTTGTTCTGAAACAGAAAATTTTTCTCACAAATTGAGAGCTTTTACGGGAAATTTGTTCTGAAAAAGTACAAGTCTTGTTCTGAAAAAGTACAAGTATTGTTCTGAAAAAGTACAAGTATTGTTCTGAAAAAGTACAAGTCTTGTTCTGAAAAAGTACAAGTCTTGTTCTGAAAAAGTACAAGTATTGTTCTGAAACAGTACAAGTATTGTTCTGAAAAAGTACAATGGACAACATCGAGCCATTAGATGAGGCAATTTACCTTATAGAGATAAATGAAGTTGTTAAGCAGTATTTGGGCAAGGACAAAGCCAACAAGTCCCTCGGCTTCTGGTTGTCTGGAAGAGGTGCGCTGAAAATCGAAATTGAAACCGGAATTCCAATTCAAATACCAGAAAACACTCCTTTCGACGACATAAAGGACGCCAAAAGAGAAGCTCTTGTTAAGTTCTTTGCCAAGCGTCCTTGGATAAAAATACCAAACAGAGAGAGTCCAATTCCACGAATTATACAAATTCTCAGAGCACTGTTCCACTTCTCTGGTCAACCATTCTACATAACTACAGAAGGCGGCATTCAGCCAGTTCAGTAAACATCTCATTTTAACTCACTTTTTTTCTATCTTAAGGAAATTCATGAAAATTCACCTGTTGAACTTTGTATAAAAAGCAACCCGCCGAATTCCGCGGGTTGGTATATTCTTCACAAAATGCTTGTTTTGAGGTCGAGCCACTTTTGGCTCCACCGTATTCTTTCAACCAAAAACTCATTTTTGTCGAATTCAGCACAAAATTCATGAAAATTCATGAGGGTGAAAAAACAGGTGAAAAAAGAGGTGAAATCTCACCTCTTCACCTAAAATATATTTTTACTGAATTTAGCAACAAAATGAACGAGGTCAGGATGTATGTTGCTGAATTCATTCATAACACCCTTTGTAAGCTCATAAAATGTTTGTTTTGTATCTGCTACTTTTGTTCTTTGTTTTTCAACCCGAAGCATTTAATATATGTAAAAATATACTGTTTTAAAATGGTATGCCATATAGCTTCTTGAATTTGTTAAGAAGTATTTGAACGTATTTTCCATCTGTATCTCTAGCGTTTACATGAGCATAGCCCGCCTTAGTAAAACATACTTGTAATTTTCTATAGTTTACACCGGTATAAAAGTAGAAAGAGTCTTGTTCTTCGCTATAGTAGTAAAACTCAAACGTATGCTTGCCATAGTCTGTAATTTCAATTGCTTCATCTTCTAGTTCGTCGACAAATTCGAATACTATATCTCCAAATTTGCCTTTGTTCTTATTGTTTTCAGAACGAGTAACCCAACGTAAATTTTCAAGTCTATTGTCGTTTCTTATACGGTTTATATGGTCTACAAAAGGTAAATTGTTAGGGTTCGGTATAAAATGAGTTGCAATGACAACATGTTTAAGATAGTGTTTTCCACCCATCTTCATATCAGCATATCCGTCTTTTTGCTCCCATCCGCTTAAAACTCTTTTTGTCTTTTTGTTTCTGACTTCAAATGACTCACAACAGTGAATTTCATATTTCTCATCTAACAAACAAGTTTTCCAACGGTCTGTTCCAACAAACTCAGCGTACATTTCAAATAAAATAAAAAAATATATTTTTTAAAAAAATATTTTTTTCTTTACTTTACATAACCGCCTGCTGCCAAAAGTCTTTGACGCCAACCCATACCAGCTAATGAAGGTTGACTTGGTTTAGTTTGGAAACTAACCTTTGGTTTTGGTTTATCTTCAGTTTTTGGCTTCCCTTCTTCTATCGGTTTTTCGTCACTTTTTGGTTCACCTGACTTTACTTCACTTGCAGGTATGGTTGTGTCGTCAACATCTTCGTAAATATCATATGCCATTTGTTTTTGTTTTCCTTTCAACTTTTTGTGTTTGTTGTAAAGTTTAGAATATTTCGACTCTAAGTCAATGAGATGTTCTATAATGAACTGTTGGTCAGTGAAGTAAACTTTTCCATCTGTTGTCTCGAAAGCTCCTTCAGACTTCAATATTTTATTTGTGAGAGTCTGTTTCTTTTTTGAGATACTAGCCGTTCCATTTCTATGAAAAGTGACTTTATAGTTAGGGTTTGTATTTCCAGACCTGGCACTTTCTATTATTGAATTTTTCTCTTCATCTGTAAGTTCTTTGACAGGTTTTGACAATGGTTCTGAACTTTTTGTTTGTGGTGTCAAATCTACCGTTTCAACTTCTTCGGTCATTTCATCTCAGTAAAAAATTTTAGTTTGGTTTGTTTTCAACTGGTTGTTTAGTTTTTTAAGTCGGTCTAAAACTTCCTGAGGTATAGGAAGAACTTGACAAACACGTGTTGTGTAACTGCTGGAAGTCGACAAATCCATCTTGAACCCATTTGTCTCAATGCTGTATTGTTCATTTCATCTCAGTAAAAAACTTTACATTCCCCAAGTTTGAGGCGGTTGCGGTTGGTTGTTGTTTACCCACTGTTGTGCATGGTTATATCCTCTGTTAAAGAATCTTTCACCTTGGTCCATATAGTGCCTGCTTGGTTATAGTAGTCATTTGCTTTGTTATAGTAGTTTCCTGCTTCTCTTCCTACATTGTCCATCCATCCTTGAACTTTTCCTCTTGTTTCAGGATTTGGAATAAGATTTGCTGCATCTCGTGCTACCTCCCAACCTTTCTGTACAGTTTGTATAATAGGTTGTGCTTTCTCTTTCAGTATACCTAATGTACTCAAAATCTTCCTTCCAATTCCAAATGCACCTCTGGCTATTGTTCCCACTGCGGGCAAAAATCTGGATGCAACTCCTGCTAATGCGCCAAATAAACCCATTTCTTATGGGTTAAAAATGACGAATTCAAACAAGGACCCCTATGTTTCTAAAGCAACAAAGAAAGCACTCATGGTAAAAATCTTTAGTTCAACACCAAATGCTTGGTTTATGGATATCTTGGAAAACATTCCGAGGTATAGAGAAGATGGACCACCATACTGGCTAATATTTGTCGGTCAAAACACAAGATACTGTGAAGCCATACCATTACAGTCCAAAAATATTTTAGATGTGAAAACTGCTTTGACAATATTCGTTGACAAATACCATCCAACAAAACTGACATCTGACTGTGAAAGTTCTTTCAAATCAGACGATATTAAAAACTATCTGCGTTCAAAAAATGTAAACCAATATTTCATTGTCGACCAAAACCATTCTGCTCTTGGTGTCATTGACAGTTGTATAAAAATCTTAAGAGACTTAAACCAACCACAAGGTGGTGAAGTAGATGAAATGTCATATGACGACAAATAGACACTTCTCCATGGCAAAGATGAGACAAGTTTTAAATATTTACAATAACCGTAAACAAAAAGGTTTGGGAAACCACTCCCGAAGAAATGAAAAACAACCCTGACTTAGAGAAAGACTATATATTTAATAGTTTAGTCAAAAGAGACAAACAAGAAAGAATGCCAGGCTTCAAACTTAAGAAAGGTGACAAAGTAAAAATAGAAATACCTAAACGCGACCCATATGAAAATACTATTGACTATGACAACAATGGGAACTCGACAGGTACTCACATTCGTGTTCGTAAAAATAGAAGAAAGTATACAAGAGAATATTATGAAGTTTTAGGCAAACATGGCAAAATGTACACACTGCAAGCAGAAGATAAAACGACTATTGTCAGACCTCGTTTCAAACTTGTCAAAGTTCAAGGTGGTATACTTTCAAAGACAGTTCCTAACAAATATAAGACAACTCCTGACGAATATGCTAAAGAAGTTGAAAATGACGACTAAGCATTTCTATACCATGCGTAAACTGTCATGTAAGGTGGCATGTAGTCTTTACTTTGTCCCGTTGTTTGCGTATATCCTGAAACGCGATGTGTATGGCTTCCTCCTACCTCAGTGTTACTCCAGTAACAATTTATAGCAAACTTAACGTCCTCTTTAACATCATATCCTTTACCTTTTGTCATTCCTGACCAATCCCAAAATCTATGACTATGCAAACCTGCTTCAGATGTAGTTAAACTTACGTAGTGACTGTGCGCAGGTAAATTTGCACCTGAAATCGTTTTACTTCCACCTGTTTCCTTTGAAGAGTTTGCACAATACAAAAACCTGTCGACTATTTGAGTCCAAGTTCCAAAACCAAGTACTACTTCTGGTCTGGTAGAGTTCATTGACGTGTAAATAGAACCTATAGGATATACTGTTTGAAGTATTTCTGTCTTTAACGTTTGAAGCTCTGTTTTGTCAGCTTTTTTATCATATAAATCTTGAGCAGTGAATTTAACTTTGTTTTCATCCTCCATGACATAGACATTTCTACATCTAATGTATCTCATCGTTGTTATGTCTTCATCCGATGTTAAACCTTGTGGAAAGTTAGGAGGTTTCCAATTTAATACATCCCCACCAGTTTCTTCAACCGTTCCTTCAATATTTTCTATACCAACAGTTGCGAAGAAATCGTGTGTATGTCCAACGTCACTTTTCCTGTTTAAGGTTTCTTGTAAGTTTGTAATATTTGCAATGGTATGTGTATGAGTCTTTTTAGAATATTCTTTGTCAGCTCTTGTCACTTCACTTGACATTTTATTGTCAACATATGTTTTATCCGCTTTGTCATCTAACATTGCTGGTAGTTCATCTACGTCATAGATGTTATGTGTATGGTGTTTTTGTGGGTATGTTCTATCTGTCCATGCGAGAATATAGTCTCTTGTTGCATCTACATACTCTTTGTCAGCTTTGTTGTCAATATCTGCTTTCAAAAGAAGTTCATCTATAGGTTTCTCGTTTAAAGTTCTTTTTGTTGGATTTATACAAACAGTATGGTTCTTACTGTCTTGAAACAGAAACTCATCTGTCATTGGGTTTATCGTCAGTTTTAAGTTTCCTTCTTTCAATGACTCAGATATCTTAGAATAGTTTGAAAAGTTTGTTGTGTTCTTATTTAGAGCTTGCAAAATGAGTTGTCGGTTGTGTTGTATTTCTCTCATAGACGCTGTTTCTTTCGACATTTTTATTCTAGATAAAATATGCTTCCAATAGAAAAAGAAAATTCAAGAGTTGCTACAACTAAACCATTAGATGAACTTTTTACTAATGTCGGTCAAAAGTTTGAGACAGAGACCGTAAAGCATGAAGGCTATCGTTTTGACTACCCATTAAGATGGCTAAGAGACCCATCTGTCACAAAAGCTATTGGCTTTCGTAGAATGAAGTTTGTGTCTGTAGAAGATAAAAGTTTTCCATTTATTGTAAGGTTTCATATAGATTATATATCTGAAGGGAAACGAAAAATGTGGGAAGAAATTGAGCTAATACAAGTTGACCTTTCATCTTCTCTACAGACTGCGTTAAAAAATATAGAAGATAAAATAAATTCATGTTATGCAAAATATGCTGATGAATATGCAAATACCGAGAGCACACTTTATGTGAGAATTGTATATGACAAACAAAATTCACAAGTGTCATTTCAAATCTACGAAGACAATCCAAAGAAAGACGAACAAATATATACAGAATTCACTGCAATGTCATGGTATTATTTGCAAAGAATGTTAAATCAGAAAGTCGAACTTCCTTTAGCAAATATTTACAGTCGATATGCAAGAGATGAACCATATTTATTTAAAGATGTTTTCGACCCAGCTGCTATTATAGTTCATGCTTCATTTTCTGGTGCACAAAACTCTTTTTTATGCTTGGCAAATGACTTTTACGAAAAACCTACAAAGCTATATGAACCACCAAGTGGAAGTATTTCAGACTTTCAAGTATGGTTTACAACAGATGGAAGAAAGAGAATAGTTCCATTATACCATGCGTTTTACTTAGAACTTAGTTTCATATACAACTACTATCGAACGGTAAAAATATAATTTTTTAATACGGTTGAGGTGTTGGATTTGGTTGCCAACTAGACTGTGGTGCAGGTTCAGGCTGTTGTATAACAGGAGCTTGTTCTTCTGGTTCAGGGTCTTTAGGTATAATACCAACAACTGACCTACTCTTTTACCAATATTTTTGACTCCGTTCCAAATTCCTCTTCCGACAGATTTTATTCCATTCCATATACCTCTTCCAACATTTCGAAAGAAGTTTCCTATTCTTCCAAAGAAACCCATTTTACTATATGTAAAAATCTAATGTCCGCCTAGTCTCTTACGTTTCCTGTTGAGTTCCATAGCATTCTTTAACTGGAGCTCATACATTCTGTTTCTCCTCTGGTAGAAAACATATTCTGGGTCAACTCCTGTGTTCGCGTCATCTGCATAGAGTTGTTTATATCCCACTTCGGGGTTTGTATAAAACTCTTTCCATCTCATATTTGCATACCATGGTGGTAAGCCTAACGCAGCGTCATTTGACATGGCAGTTTGCATTTGTACATCTGTTGGCACTTGACCATAGTTTGCCATTGCAGTTTGTATTCTAACTTCATTTGGAATATTCTCTGGGTTTGGTTGTCCAGGTTGCTGTGCATTTGCTAAGTTCTGTGCGTCCATTTAATATTAGATAAAAATATCTCTTACGAGTACATATACTGAACATTTGCAGGCATTGGTTCATCTTCATATTCTCTGTACTTTTCTGCCACGTCAAATAAATAAATGACACAATGGAAAAAACCTAAAACAAGTAGTCCTATTTCAAACCACATTTACTTACTAGTAAAATTTCTTTGTTATGACACTTTCTCCAGTTTATAGGACCTCTCTCATATTCTATCTTATCGTATCTAAACTCATAGTCATGTATGTCCTCTAACCATCTCATGACACTTTCCAAACCACTTTTATCGGATGTAAAGTAAAAGCATGGATGGTTATGTAAAACGTCTAAAGTTTCTAAAGAGTCTCTCAAAGTCCAGTCTACTTGGTATTGAAAATCCCATGTGTTATAGAACGGCGGGTCTACTATAAAGAAAACATTTTCCTTGTCTTTATATTTTTCATACAACTCTGTCCAATGACATCTCACAAACTCTATACCCTCAATATATTTTTCTATGTCCTCTTTGAAAACATTTGTATAGTTAAGATATAAAACTTTTGACATAAGTGTTTCAATGTCATGAACTCTTATAGCACCACTATATAATAGTCTAGCAGATATACTATCCCAGTCTATATATTCTGCTTTTTTCAAAACCTCTCTGACAGTATTTTTCTTATCTAATGGTATACGTTCCATCTTACCTATAGGTATCTTTTCTTTCAACTCACTCAATATTTTGTTTGTGTCTGGTATATGTTTGAGACGGTTCATATAGTTGTCGAAGTCATTGCATATAATCTTTGAGTCTGGGAATATTGTATGGCACAGATGGGATATATAGAAACTTCCACCGAACAAATCTACAAATGTTAGACCATTCGGTAGTTTCTTAAGTTCTCTCAATAGAATATCTTTACATCTACTCTTATTTCCAAAGAAGGGTAACGGTGGTTTTGTAAAATTCATTTAAAAATTTTGATAAAATGTTTTCCTGAAAAGTGACAGAAAAGCGGTTTTTGACAGACGTTTTATTGTGACTTCTTCGTAAAGACTTTGTTGAGATTTCTTCGTAAATGAGTGTAAATGACCCAAAAATATATTTTAGGGTAGAAGGTTAGATATAACCTCTTTTCTAACCTCTTTTCTACCCTCTGAATTTTCATGAATTTCTTCGTAAAGACTTTGTTAAGACTTCTTCATCTAATTTCTCATGAACTTTCTTGTCTATGTTTTGTTGAGATTTCATCGTAAAGACTTTGTTGAGATTTCTTCGTAAATGACCTAGTAGTATATTTTTGGTGTAAATTTCATGAAAATTCAAGAGGTGAAAAATTAGGTGAAAAAACAGGTTATATCTCACCTCTTCACCTAAAATATATTTTTGGTGTAAATTTCATGAAAATTCAAGAGGGTAGAAAAGAGGTTAGAAAAGAGGTTATATCTAACCTTCTACCCTAAACATTATTTTTGGTGTAAATTTCATGAAAATTCAAGAGGGTAGAAAAGAGGTTAGAAAAGAGGTTATATCTAACCTTCTACCCTAAACATTATTTTTGGTGTAAATTTGAAGAAATCTCAACAAAGTCTTTACGAAGAAGTCTTGACAAAGTCTTACGAAGAAGTCTTGACAAAACATTTACGAAGAAATCTTGACAAATTCAAGAGGGTAGAAAAGAGGTTAGAAAAGAGGTTATATCTAACCTTCTACCCTAAACATTATTTTTGTCTGATTTTACGAAGAAGTCTTGACAAAACATTTACGAAGAAGTCTTGACAAAACATGAAAACATATATAATTTGTGAAAAGTGAAACATTATATAATGTTTTCGACCAAGAAGACTAACAATTTTCCGAATAAAAACTTCATTTATACTAAACATCTTCAGGGCTAGAAGGCACGAAGTGCCTGGAAGCCCCACTACCTTTTTTTTTTTTTTTTTTTTTTTTTTTTTTTTATAAAATCGATGTACAGAAAGTCACGTTATTTTGTCCAAAATCCGAAACGGAGAAGCGTTCAAATTTTGATTTTGAGATTTGCAATGTACTCTATTCCAACTCACAAGATACTTGTTGTTGGAGTTTCAGGGACAGATGCCTGTCTATCGATATCTTTATAGAAGAAAATTTATCATTCTAATTTAGGATAGGGTGTATCAGTTAGTTAAAAGATTCTTCAGGAAAACAAAATTTCAATATTTAAACTTTTAGAATTCCTTTTTTTTTCTGGAATGCAAGGAAAACGTCACTTTTTCTCTTCATCAGATTTCGAATGAGTTTGTTTTTATTCCCTTCAGGGTCAAATAATGACTTTAAGCAAGAACGTCTTGCAGAATCCAAGTCTATACTTTTAAAACCAGTAAGGGAAATATTTGATGCCTGTTACAATTTGCTTGGAAATCAAAAGAAAATGAAATTAGTTTGTTTGCTACGATGTTTATTAGAAATGCCTATTACACCAGATTATGCAGCTGTTGTTGGCTGGTTTGCAATTAATAATCTCATTCCTTCACCAACATTATATTTATATTTTAATTTATTACTTGAAAAGAAAGACACGTACTACGGTGAGCAATGTTGCATTGCAATGGCACAGGAAATACTTCTATATGGCTATAAATTTCCTTCATTTTTAGAATCCGTCGCTACAACTCCAGGTTTTCTCTATAGAAGACCAGATTTATTCATTGCTATTAACCAAGTTCTCGAAACATCCGTTCCTGTTGACTCATACGTTTCACGAAATCATTTTGCGATTCCAACTCCTCCAAGACCATTCCAAATCCCAGCAAAACCACATTTCAATCTTTTACCTATCTCCAAGAGTCCACACGAGCCTCCAATGAAGGCAACTCTCGAAGAAGTCGTTCAACAAGCTTATTTAATGCAAGAAGAGCATCGCAGGCACTATTTAATATCATACGTTTTAAATTCACCAATACCAGATATTTTACGTGAGGCTCCGAAAGTTCTTCTCGAAGCCATTTGCGTTTATGCAAAACATCTCATTTCCAACGCAATTACAGATGGCAAAGGCGTTCTCAGATGGGAAAGGTGTAGTTACCATCTTCAGCTCCATCAAATCGGTATTTGGATTGGTTTACTTTCGATATCTCGCGGACCTCCGCCTCCTCTTTATTATTTAGACATGCACAAGCTATTGAAAGAATCTATACGTCTCGGGTGTTTCCAAGAAGCCGTTATTTTGCTTACAGGTTACTATTCTCGAGCGAGTTCGATTTATCAACTTCCGAATCCATATACAGCCGGCCTTTTGGAGATCATGGCCGCAGTTGTCAATTTCCCAGGTGTAAGACATGACATACACCAGGCTGTTGATAACTTTGCATCAATGTTAAATACGAATATACAATTTTTTTATAACAGACCAGTCGACATCGACCCAACATCATTCGATATGCATGCTGTATTCCAAGTAGATCCAGACACACACGAAACTTTCCTCGCTCCAAGGACAAATTCTTCGATTTTATCAGAAAACCCTAACGACATCTATAACTTCTTTAACTACGTTCCCAATGTCTCAAACTTTCCTCGTCAATACGCACAAATGTTTGAAATGGCAAATTTTGTCAGAAAATATTATTTTATTGGGGAAGGCCACTCAATACAGACACCAAAACTGGGTATAGCGCCTGCACGATTAATCAACATGATATTTTCTCTATCAATGGCCTCCAATCCCGTACTTTCTAAATCCGCCGCAAAAATCTTACGACAGATCCTTATTGACTATCCCGCGATCATCGATGCCAACAGATTACGTTATGCCTTCCCCAACCACACTACAATTTCCACTCTTTTGGAAGCAAATAAATTAGATTTGACATCTCTCAACAATATTCTATCTGATATCCTCGCCAGTCGAGATTTAGGTCCTTCCGCCATATCCCTTATCCACCGGACCATGCCATTGATCTTCAAAGCCCACAGAAAGCATCCAGAAATTAATTTCACTTCACTTTACATGTTAACGGGCATGCAACCACCAATGGACGATCCTAGGCTTCCTACACCCGACCACGCGTTCATTCCTCTTCTCCGATACTTTGTTCAGTTTTGCAGATCTGGAGATGAAATCTCTAAACAAGAATTCATTTCCAAATTCGTTCCCGGTTCTTCTGCGCAAGTCACTGCCCTTATACAACTTGTTTTGGCCAGTGTCGACGAAGACAGCAAGGATTATTCCGCAATAGACTGTTACGCGTCTGTTGTTCCTTTTTTGCCTCAAAAAGTTCTGACAGAGTCACTTTTGCCAGGCTTATTCAAAGCTTGTGAACTGATGAACCCACATGCTGTTATCACACACCAAGGCGCTATCTTCAGAGTTGCCTGGGAGACGTTTTCCGCTTTGGAAGATTTGCATCCACAAAGATTAATTTCCTTCTTCATGCATTACGGGCCGGGAAGCATGCCAGGGTTCGCAGCTTCATGGATGCAATTGGTAATACACCCACACGTATTCCCTGTCTTAATTGATAGTGCTGATCCAACTTCACTTCACTTTTGTTTACGATATTTGGTCTGTATATTGAAATTGGCGGTTAACATGCCCGAGTCATTCTACAGGCCCGTAGTTTGTATATTTACAACGTTATGTGATGAATTTCCAAGTTTTGTTATTTCATATCATTGTTTACTTTTAGAACACATTCCTCCGAGAGCTGTTCAACTGAGGAACATAATATTGAACACTTCTTTGAACCAGAGCTCTTTGGCGCCTCCGCCAATCGGAATAACATTTGGTTCTTCACAGGAAATGAAAGCTCTCAAACAAAAAATTGAACCATTTGTTTTGGACAGAGTCTCTCAAAATATTGATGAAAATGTCTCTGAAATTTGTGATCTCGTAAAAGTGATTTCACAAACGGATTCAAGTGTCGTATGGCGCATTGTTTATTTCTGCATCGCGTATTGGTTGTCTAAACACGACGCATTTAATAATCAGGCACAAATTTTGGAAGTTTTCATCGGTTTTGTCAGAATTTCGCCAATTTTCTTCTCAATTATTATGGATCATGTCAGATATCGAAATTCACACACAACTTTCTGTCAGAATGTTTTAGTTTCGATTTTCAGTCGTTTGGGAGATAATTTGAAAGAACAGATGATTCTTGAATTGATAAGAAGACATCTTTGCGTCACAAAGCCTCCTGAATCACTTCACGAAGTGTTTGAACACCTGTGGAAGAATGAGCAGGAACAGGTTCTTCAAATAGGAATGAAATCAATGAAAAAGGAAGAATTTTTAGAAATTGTAAGAATAATTATTGGTCCAACAGTTTAAATTATATTTGTTTTTTTGTTTAATAAATTTGTTTGTAGATTTGTTTTTGATATAAAATTTAGTGTTTAGTATTTAGTTATTTTTTTTCTTTTATCTACCCCTACTTAGAATGATCTATTAAGGGTGCACTTACCACTTTCTGACATGCTCTCATAATACCCTTCGTTTCCATGAATTTCCGGATAAGGTTATTTTTCCCGATCGAAAAGTGCTAATAACTCTCCATTTATTATGTATTTTTAAAATATTTTGAGTTATTATCTGTCCATAGCCTATAAAGTATAATCTATACTATTTTGAAAGATTTTGGAAATGGTAACGGCGTCGAAATTGCATAATTTGAGCTACTCATAATTCGGTCAATATTGCATTGCCAGAGCCCAAACTTTAGTATATTTATAGGTATGAACTTGTCAGCATATTCATGGGCAAGAATCCTAAAAAGCAAATGTTGAGTTTAATTTCAAACCTTAGAAGCGGGGTAACCTAACCAAATACTGATATGTTATTCTACCGATCATATATTAAATCATACTGCATATTATTTGTTCAAATTTAATAAATTATTAATATGTGAAAAATTTACTATTAAGTTCATAAAAGCATTATAAATCATATAGCTTTAACGATGTTATAATAAAGGTTCTACTCAAAAGAACTAGAATGCATGTTAGAAGGAAATTGAATTGTAATTTGTACTAATTTTCTTATTTATAAATTGTATTTAACAGCTTGGAATCGAAAAAAGCGAAGTGCATAACAATTATTTCTTTCTGACTATAATAGTAACAATATGCTTTTTTAAAAAATCAATCTAAAAAAACATAAATACATGAGTTACAATACTAATTGTAATGATGTTTGTTATTGGCAAGCCATGAGAAAGAATATTTTCAAATTATTCAAATAAATAACTATATGATTTACCATAAATATACCGGCAATGAACTAACATTTACCAATCGTAAATATACATGCAGTTTAAAATGAAAATTAATTTCAATTATTCACATTTCAATACCTGAAAGATGTTTCTAAAAATGACAAGTTGAGCGAGATACGCCTTAATATGTCAATCATGAATACAGTATTAAAACTCCAAAAACTTTCATTTTTAGAAAATGACGCCAAACTACGTAATTTTTGGCGCCATATTTTAAAAATGAGTATTTTTGGAATTTTAATGACATATATAGTATATGCATGCAATTAACTTTTATTTTTTACTTGGTGCAATTGGCTATCTTTATTCTAATTCAACAAGCAAATAATACGATAAAATCACAAAAAATGTTAATTTATCATACAACGATAGTTTGTACGAATGTATTCACATGAATGAACAAAATCATAATAAAAATTCAAAGTTAAAAATACCCTCAATTTTTAACTTTTGCAACTCCAAAAACCAGGTGTTTTTCCAGAACTACCATCTAGGATGAGTCCTAGGAGCTATAATTCTAGGGTTAGATGATACCCACTTAGTACTTTTATTTGTATATGTTTTAGTGGAATTTGGTGAGGGGTCATGAAATTCGTATCTAATTTGCTATCATCTAAGCTGGTAAAAGTTAGAGAAAGCAATTTACTGGTTGTATATTACAAATATACCTTGTAATAGAAAATAGAAGTGTTTGTGATTTAAATTCGCTCAATTAGCTCGAGAATTTGTTTTATATCCATGACAAACTAACACAATCCTATTTATGTGATTGCCAATCTGTTCCCAAAATATATCAGCATGAATATATATATATTGATATTATTTGCAATTTCATCATTAAATAGTACTTTTTTTTTTCTATTTTTAATTTAGAAATAGTATATTTATATGATAGCGACACAAGATTTTAATTAAAAAATATATGTTATCGATCATCACACTCAAATTGAATTTCAAAAATTTTAGAATTTTTCAATTTCAATATTGAAAATATATTTCTTATATCATAGCGATTCATGTTATAATAATATGGAGAAAAATATTGTTTTAAATCTAAAATTTAAAATGAATGATTGGGCATTACATTAATCCAATTTATTGTTTATTTGTTAATCTAGTGGAAACAATTAATATTTTGGAGAAACAAAAATTTGAAATTTGAAATTTTGAAAAAAATGCATGAATCGGTAATTAAACATTGATTTATTAATTTATTAGCCATGCTTTTGATGTTGGTCTTATTCTTAAGCCGAGTTAAAGAATTAATTTTTCCAAATCGTGTTTGACATTAACACATATAGATATATCAGGAAAAAAGGTATCACTTATCAAGTTATTGGTTTTTATGTATCTCCTAACTTTGCCTCGTTCTGAATACAATTCTAGTTAACGAATTTTAAATAACTATATGAAGAATACATCATTTTGGTTTTATTATTATTAAAATGATATATATTAGCTATGTATATGCTTGTAAGAATATTATTCCGTGAATTGGAAACAGAAAAAATAAATTTAGACAGAAAATGCATATCTTTAAAAAATAATATGAAATTTAGCTTTGATATTATTATCCGATAAATATGCATGATAATTACTCCGCAAATAAAATTAGGAAGCAAGTTGTGACGGTTTGGGCGGTTTTCAATGGCCCACAAGGAAGGAAGTATCGTTTTATCAGGCAACAAGAGGTCTTGAAATGAGTAAAGACTGATCACCCTTGAAAGGTTCAAACTTGCTTGCGCGCCGCAGTCTTAAAAATGATATGTTTCACTTCTGGTCGAAAATTTCAACCTCTATGACAATTGTTGGATGAACAATTGTGTAGCGGATGAAATCTGAGTGCGGCCTGGGCTGCAGCATCAATCTTCCCGGCATCTTTACCGCAATCATCTCTTAGATTGCACACAAAGTTGCGAACGAGCAGTTTTCTATGCGGTAAAGATGCCGGAAAGAGAGAGCCGTAGTGATTCTCTGCTGCAGCGTCAATCTTCCCGGCATCTTTACCGCAATCATCTCTTAGATTGCACACAAAGTTGCGAACGAGCAGTTTTCTATGCGGTAAAGATGCCGGAAAGAGAGAGTCGATGTGAGGTTCTTTTCGAGGGCTCCTCGACTGAGACACTGTTCCGCATTGATAACTTGAACGCGGAAGTTTGACCGACAAGAGTGTATTGTGCACTCCTGACGGTCGCAGTGTCTCATTCTGGGAGACATTGCCTCTGCATGTCTCCCAGAATGGAACAATGTTCCGCATTGATAACTTGAACGCGGAAGTTTGACCGACAAGAGTGTATTGTGCACTCCTGACGGTCGCAGTGTCTCATTCTGGGAGACATGCAGAGGCAATGTCTCCCAGAATGAGACAAACTTCTGCAATCAGAATGTGATTGCAAAACTTTGACCGACAAGAGTGCATTATGCACTCCTGACGGTCGCAGTGTCTCATTCTGGGAGACATTGCCTCTGCATGTCTCCCAGAATGGAACAATGTTCCGCATTGATAACTTGAACGCGGAAGTTTGACCGACAAGAGTGTATTGTGCACTCCTGTCGGTCGCAGTGTCTCATTCTGGGAGACATTGCCTCTGCATGTCTCCCAGAATGGAACAATGTTCCGCATTGATAACTTGAACGCGGAAGTTTGACCGACAAGAGTGTATTGTGCACTCCTGACGGTCGCAGTGTCTCATTCTGGGAGACATGCAGAGGCATGTCTCCCAGAATGGAACAATGTTCCGCATTGATAACTTGAACGCGGAAGTTTGACCGACAAGAGTGTATTGTGCACTCCTGTCGGTCGCAGTGTCTCATTCTGGGAGACATGCAGAGGCAATGTCTCCCAGAATGGAACAATGTTCCGCATTGATAACTTGAACGCGGAAGTTTGACCGACAAGAGTGTATTGTGCACTCCTGACGGTCGCAGTGTCTCATTCTGGGAGACATGCAGAGGCAATGTCTCCCAGAATGGAACAATGTTCCGCATTGATAACTTGAACGCGGAAGTTTGACCGACAAGAGTGTATTGTGCACTCCTGACGGTCGCAGTGTCTCATTCTGGGAGACATTGCCTCTGCATGTCTCCCAGAATGGAACAATGTTCCGCATTGATAACTTGAACGCGGAAGTTTGACCGACAAGAGTGTATTGTGCACTCCTGTCGGTCGCAGTGTCTCATTCTGGGAGACATGCAGAGGCAATGTCTCCCAGAATGGAACAATGTTCCGCATTGATAACTTGAACGCGGAAGTTTGACCGACAAGAGTGTATTGTGCACTCCTGACGGTCGCAGTGTCTCATTCTGGGAGACATTGCCTCTGCATGTCTCCCAGAATGGAACAATGTTCCGCATTGATAACTTGAACGCGGAAGTTTGACCGACAAGAGTGTATTGTGCACTCCTGACGGTCGCAGTGTCTCATTCTGGGAGACATTGCCTCTGCATGTCTCCCAGAATGGAACAATGTTCCGCATTGATAACTTGAACGCGGAAGTTTGACCGACAAGAGTGTATTGTGCACTCCTGTCGGTCGCAGTGTCTCATTCTGGGAGACATGCAGAGGCAATGTCTCCCAGAATGGAACAATGTTCCGCATTGATAACTTGAACGCGGAAGTTTGACCGACAAGAGTGTATTGTGCACTCCTGTCGGTCGCAGTGTCTCATTCTGGGAGACATTGCCTCTGCATGTCTCCCAGAATGGAACAATGTTCCGCATTGATAACTTGAACGCGGAAGTTTGACCGACAAGAGTGTATTGTGCACTCCTGTCGGTCGCAGTGTCTCATTCTGGGAGACATGCAGAGGCAATGTCTCCCAGAATGGAACAATGTTCCGCATTGATAACTTGAACGCGGAAGTTTGACCGACAAGAGTGTATTGTGCACTCCTGACGGTCGCAGTGTCTCATTCTGGGAGACATTGCCTCTGCATGTCTCCCAGAATGGAACAATGTTCCGCATTGATAACTTGAACGCGGAAGTTTGACCGACAAGAGTGTATTGTGCACTCCTGACGGTCGCAGTGTCTCATTCTGGGAGACATTGCCTCTGCAT